TATGAATGGAATTCCTTTCAGTGTTACTCTTCCATCTGGCTGTATAACAGCTTCATCCTTGAGAGACTTAGCCCATACCAAATTAATACTGTTCTTTCAATGCAAACTGCTTTGATTTTGCTAACATTGCCAGCTTCAGTATATTGAGGATGGTGATCCCATCTCCTTGCAATTTCAACAAGGAAGACGATAACTTGATAATTATTTCTTATTTTGTACAGAAAGAGAGCCCACAAACCAGACTTTTTACCTGTGTTGACTGAAGCTCCATCTGTGACCAAGGAACTTACATGCAAGAGAATCGTGGTAACAGAATAGTAAGGAAGGGGACAGAGGGCCATTGGGTTCCATCCCCTGTTCAGTGCAGGACTCTATGTTAAACCATCCATCCCAAATGGCTGTTCAGTTGCATCTTGAATGTCTCCAGTGTGGGAGAGCCCACAACCTCCCTAGGTAATTGCTTCCATTGTCGTACTGCTCCAACAGACAGTATCTTTTTCCTAATATCTAGCCAGAATCTCACTTTCTGTAACTTGAGCACTTCATTCATACCTTCCACTTGTGGGATGATTGAAAAGAGTTCCTGTCTTTCCTCTTCATGATAATCTTTCAAGCACTTGAATAATGCTATCATATCTCCCTTCAGTCTTCTCTTCTTGTGGTTAATCATGCCCAGTTCTTTCTATCTTTCTTCAAAGGACTTTGCTTCCAGTCCCTGAATCATCCTTGTTGCCCTCCTCTAGACCCTTTCCAGTTGGTGTGTACTTTTCTGAAATTGTGTCCCAGATCTGGACCTTCCTGATGCCATCTTCAACTGTATTTGTTCTGGGCCATGGCACAACCCCAGCTTCTATTTTTACATTTGCTGTTAAAGAAATGTTGTCCATTTTTGTTCAATCCATAGTGCCATCACTCTTCTGGAACAGCTTTAATTTATCTTCAGTCAATAGCTTGGTGAGACTGTCTCTGCCACTTTCTGCAATGCACTGCAGAAATTATTTGTGGGCGTTTGAAGCCAAATACCAAAAATCCATCTCAGTGCTATGTACAATTCTGCACTGTTATAGGAAAAAAGCAGGTTCCAATTAGCAATTACTTTTGTAGGGGATGAGATGAGTAATTTACAATTACTCTTGTAGGAGAGTGAGTTTCTTTGCATCTCCATAAGTGTGAAGAAGAAGCAATGCAATTTTCCTCATTTTTAATCACCCTTGGATATTGCTCTTCCGATAGAGGAAAGCTAGGTAGTTTTTCACAAATGTCAAGGTGGACAGCTGGGACATTTTAATGTTTTCACTGTTCTTTCAGATTCCTCTAAATTACTCACTCCTGTGAAAACACCCATTTTTTTCCCCAATGGGGCAGATTTGAGTACTCCTTGAAAGCAAGCATACTATGCCAGAACACTTGACTTAGATGCAGCACTAAGATGCAGATCTTTCACAGTTTTCTCCTGAAGGTTGGTGGCATCAGGGGCATGTGACGTTATTGCTGGTATAGCAGGAGGTGTTTGATTGGTATCAGCAAACGCCAGAGGTTTCTCAGAAGGTAGATGAAAGCTTAGCTGCGATTGATGTGAGGTGTGCAAGCGTGAGATGTGCTGTGTAGGCAGGGGTAACAGTGCTTGGTTTGCAGAGAGCTTCATTTTGCACCAGCAGCCCTGCACTGGCTTTTCACATTTTTATTTTTGCCATTCTAATCCAACTGAATTACCAGAACAAATGTTTAGGTTGGAAAGGTATACAGGGATTATACTGACTGAGCATATTAGTTAAAAGAAAAACATATTCGTTTTCTCCTCTTCTGTCTAATGGTATCCCTGCTGATGCAAATCTTGTGCTCCCACCCTTGGCATCCTTCCTTAATAGCAAAATATTTCTAAAAAGTTCTCCACAAATTCCTGTTGGATTTTTCCCCAAAAATGTTTTATTGATGGGAAGTTTAGGACAAGTAAAAGGAAACATTTCTTCACACAGTGTGTAGTTAAACTATGGAATTTGCTTCCATGGGAAATAAGCAGGGTGGTAACATGAAGGAGGGCCTTTTCTGCAGTGGCACCCTGACTTTGGAATGAGCTCCCTAGACAGGGTCACCTGGTGCCTTCCTTACAGTCTTTTAGGCGCCAGGTGAAAACCTTTTTTATTTCAGTGGCATTTAACGGTTAACTTGTTTTAAGTAGCATTTTAACTGTGGGTGTGTTATTACTGTGGCCCATCTTATATTGTTCTAATGTTTTTATTGGTATTTGTTGTTTCGTATTTTTATCTTTATTTTACTCTATCTTGCATTTTATCTTGTTTTTTGTTGTTGTTTTGTAACCCACCAGAGAACCTTATGGATAATGGGGCAGATTAGATATTTAGGAAGGAAGGAAGGAAGGAAGGAAGGAAGGAAGGAAGGAAGGAAGGAAGGAAGGAAGGGGAGATGACCACCAATCTGACTGGCTTTAAAAGGGGATGTATGAGGGAGGAGGCTCTCTGTGGCTGCCGGCCTTGCTGGCTCCATACAACCTCCTTCGCCAGAGCTGGCATGCATGCGTGGACCGGTTGCTGGGGGCTTGGGCCAGTGGAGGTCTTGCACTCATCCTGCTCGGGGGATCCTGTGGATGGTTAGTTTGCCACCATGTTTATGGAGTGCTGGACTGGATGGACCTTTGGCTTTTCTTATGTTCTTATCTTTTTGCGACTTGATCTTGCTATAAAACCAACTGCTTCCAAGCCCTTATAAAAGATTTGCTAGTTAAGTGTAGTTTTGAACTGTAGTTGTATGAGGAGCCTCTAGTCTGTGACAGCTGTAGAACTTATTATCCCTAGTAATGCCATACAGAATCTTCATACAGAATATTTTGCAGGAAAACAACCCATCTTGTTAAAGAAGGAATTCTAACTGCCCAATTATAATCAGAGGAGCAGCTTCTCAGCCTGCCAGTGAAGCATTTTGTTGGTTGGGAGTCCCTATCTCACCCACTCTGCAAAACATTCTCATTGTCCTCTCTCTTATTTCCATATCTTTCCTTTCTTTCTTCTTCCCTTCCATCATTCTTGCTCTTAACCACTCTAATTGTTCTTAGTTGCACTTCACTCTTATAAATTAAATTAAACATTAAATTATTTTTCCATTAGAAACATTTTTAGAGGTGCTCACACATTGGGGATGGGGCAGGGGATTGCACCAGCTCCTTGTCCAGTTGAAAAAAATACTTAGAATAAACTCTCATCTATGCAAGGAGGTCCTTTGCGTTCAATTATTTGCATGCAAAGCAGGGTTTGTGCATTGGTTTTAAGCACAGCAGAATACGAGCTAATGAGGAGAATTCTTTCATCACTGGCACATACCCATTTGCCATTGGTTAGCAAGCTGGCCTCTGCTGTCAGCTGTGAGAGAGGAATAGCTGTGAGGCCCGAGTCCTTTTGCAGCTGTGGAGGTTTGTGGAGGGATTCGATTCCTTCCAGCTGGCAGCCAGCAATGCCTTCTTTCCAGTGGGCGAGGGAAGGCCTTCAAAGCCAGCCTCGTTTGTGTGGAAATCTCCCTGCATTTCATTTTGCAAAGACAGAACTGACACACTTAAAAACAAAACAAAACTTTTTTTTTTCTGTTACATGAAAAAAGTCTTGCCATGAGGTAGTTTGAGAGGAATGCATAAATATCTGCAAGGGCAGCACAAAAGCCTTTGAGTGGAAAACAGTGCAAAATGGAATCATTTTAACCCTTTCATCACTTATATGCATGTCATATAACAGTAGGCGTGGAAGCTCATAAAATGGAGAGACGTCTTTCTTTATAGTATCCCTTTTGTGTCCATTCCCTGTCCACAATTCTGGTTATACCCACACTGTCCCCATTCCTATGCATGTTTGGGCTGTGCACGGCACACAAATCCATCATTCATCCCTGACAACAGCCAGCAGCCCATGAAAGATGCATTGGAGGGCCAGGGAAACCTTTCTGCAGCTGAGTAACCACAGCCCCATCAATGCCTTTAAAGTCTCATTGATTTCAGTGGGAGAGATTCAAACACATTTTTAGCATTCCCATGGAAATCAGGGGGAATGCAAAATGCTTAAATTTGGCTGGATTGTATCCTAGAATTTCTGATCTTTGAAATGATGCTAAAGCAGGGATATGGAACCTCAGGAGTCTCTGCTAAACACAACCCCCAGGGCTCCCCAAATGGTGACCCCTTTCCCCCGACAACTCATATTTTGGAGGTTTCCCAGCATTTGCACAGATTTTTCCCATTCTAAATTGTTAAAACTCCATTGCTACAACTTAGTTATTGGCAGTAAGAACTCTAGGCTGGTATTTTTTTTTTTTTTGTACATTGACCCTTCCTGCTTTGCCTTTGGCCCTGCATTGAGCCCACATATACCACCGGAATGTCATCCCCAAGAACTTCTCTGCAGTGCATTCCACTGGGCTGAAAGAGGAGCTACACTGCCAGGCTAGAGGCTAAGGACAGAACTTCAGGACCCAAGCAGAGAGATCCCACCATCCCAGGCGAAGGGGAGTGGCAACCTAGCCACTGTGGCAGCCAGAATTCTGCTGGAGTGGGCTGACCCTCCTTACCTTCCGGTTTGTTTCCTCTAGAGCTTTCCTTCCCATTGGCTATAAAGGGAGGGAGGAAGTACACCAGCTTCTTTTTGGCTTGTTTGGAGATGGGAAGGAGACGGCTTTGGATCCTGTGGATCCACGGCCTCTCCGAAATCCCCTCCCACTTGTACATCCCATACAGAGAACCAGCACCAGGTCACCAAAGGGGCCACCGCACAGCACAACCCCCAACCCCAGATCTCTCTCTCTCTTTATTCACGAGGTAGCTGCCTCCAAGAGTGGAATAAACCGTGTCTTACTGTCTGCAATATACAGTAAAATTTACAGGGCAATAACATTTGTTATAATCTGCTTTTATAAATGTTTGGTTTAGCCAAGGAAATGCGATTCACTTCTTATGAGTGTTTACTATAGTGTGTTTGATATAATGTCTCTTTTCACATTTGCAGAATCTAGAAATATGGATCTTCATCTGTTCCTGTTTGTATTGGCACTGCTTGCTGCAAGCGATTCTTTTCCCACAAGCAAGGGTGAGTGTTACAAGGAAATGCTTTTGAGACACAGATGCTAAGCTCTGTCCAGTGCTTGTACAGCGAAGTAGTTGGCCTCTACAGAGGTAGTTGGCCTCTGTAGCTACCTCTGTGAGCTACAGAATTCTTCCTGATTCCAGCCATATCTTTAATGTTTGGCTAATCACACATAATGGTGGGGATGGTTTTATTTATTTGTATAAGTACACTTGGCTCTGGTTCTGACTGGGACTTTTTAAATGGAGGCTTTTTAAATTTGTTTAACCCTTCCCCCTCCCAGGGCAGAACATTTAACCTTGTCCTTTGCAGAGTGCCATGGTTCTGACCTGAACTGTGGCTATGCATGTTTACAGAAAGCTACTATCCTGCATCGTGGGATGCCTGTACAACCATAGGTTAACAATGTATAGTATAATTTACACATAAGTAGACTTATTATCTAGTGTTGCTAGGACATTGTCATATTCAGGGTATGCCTGCCTTCTGTAGTTTTCTTTCTATAAGCTAAAACATACCTGGGTTCAAAATGCCCAAAAATTGTGTAAGAAAAGGCCTGTGGAGTGCCTTTGTAACCCCAAACACATCATAAGGCCAATAAACTGAAGGGCCAATAAACTGAAGCTCAATCCAGATAGACAGAGGTCTTGTTGGTAGGTGAATCAAGTTTCCGGGTAAGTGACTTGGGCTCTGCCCTGGACGTGGTTGCACTCTCTCTAAAGGACAGGGTCCACAGCTCAGGAGTGCTCCTCCACCTGGAGCTGTCCCTGGAAGCCCAGGTGATGGCAGTGGCGAGGAGCGCTTTCCTTCAGCTTTGGCTGATCCATCAGCTGTGTCCTTCCCTGGAGGAGAACTGCCTAGCAACAGTGACACACTCACTGGTTAGTTCCTGACTGGATTACTGTAATGTGCATGATGTGGGGCTGACCCTGAAGACAGTCCGGATACTCCAGATGGTTCAAAATAGAGCTGCCAGTCTGCTGTCAGGGCCTGGGCATTATTCTCACGTAACTCCAGTCCTCCATCAGCTCCAATGGCTTCCCGTTGAAGTCTGGGCTCAGTTCAAGGTGCTAGTTATTACCTAAAAAGCCCGAAACGGCTCGGGACCAGGATACCTAAAGGAACGCCTTTTCCCTATATGCCCTCCCACCTCCTAAGATCGGCAGCAGAGGCCCTCCTCTGTGAGACAGAGACAGAGTACTTGGAGGAGAGCTTTCTCTGCGGTGGCGCCCTGACTATGGAATGCACTCCCTAGAGAGGTCAGCCTGGCACCGTCATTATATGCTTTTTGGCGCCAGGTCAAGACCTTTTTATTTGACCAACATTTTAACATATAGTGATTTTAATTGTGTTAGATTTATTTAAGTTTTTAAATGGATTATTTTTATGCTCAGTATGGAACAGTTAATTTATGTTATTTAGGATTGAAATATTGTTGTAAGCCTTCCAGAGACAACAGTAATGGACGGCCTACAAATTTTCTAAATAAATAAAATAAAATAAATAAGAAGGTTAACTACTAGTCACCTTCATTTCTCTTGAAAACTAAGAACTGATGCTAAAACCTCCTGCAAAGGAAACCCTAAAATCCATGGAGGGAAAGCATGCTTATGCTGATTTGAAGTTTAGAGGCCAAACTATTGTTATCCTTATTGCAAGTCACTTGGTCAAGTATTGGCATGCAGACTTTATTGTTACTCATTACTGCAGAAAAGATTAAGTCTTAAAAGTACTAACTGGAATTTGAAATCGATTCTGCCACTGATTCAAACCTCTTGGGGGAAACAATTCAGTTAAACAAAGGCCTTTCATGTGCAGCATTTGCCCACCCTGAGGTAGTTTTTTCTGGGGTGATACAATCACCCCAGAATGCAAGCATTGCTAGTTTCAACTTAATGGTAGATGAAGACAAAACCGTTGTGCATAACGATACTGTTTGCAATTACACAAATGCTTAGTGTGACTCCATGTTTCCTTCAAAGCTGTAGTTTGGAGCCATCTGCAGTAAGGGACACGGTCTTTCCAACTACGGCTCCAGGTTTGTTCAGTGACCTTCCGGCGTTAGGATTGTGGTACCTCCCAGTTGGTCTTATGCACCTGGTTAAAAACTACTTGTTCAAAAAAGTTTTTGAATATGACGACCTGCTGCTTATTTTGTTGTCCTTTGTTTGGCTTGTCTGCTTTGAGAGACAGATAGGACAAGCTCTTTGGATGTGGAAAACAATGAAAAATTATCATCAATGGAAAAATATTGCCCACGGCTGATGTAGCTGAACACACAGCAACTCAGTATTATATACTTTTCCTCTTATAAAAGGAGGCATTGGAAAATTCTTTTGAGAGTTTATTTTTGGAGTCTTTGTAACCATAAGGGTTACATTTTCTCTGGCACTGAGCCATTTGTTTGGATTTGATTTAATATTATTTGGTGTTCAGTCATTGCTTGTTTTGTTCCGGTTTTGGTTGCTAATTTGGCCACTTTGTTCTGGTTTTATTATGTTACTTTGTTTTATTTCAGGCATCTGAAGCCTACTAGCAAGGCTGGTGGGCAGAGAAAAGAGAGAAAAAAGATATCAACACTTCCAGTAGCACATTATTAAATTATGAATAGAGTCTGTATTTCAAGCATTTTCTAACAAAGGGAGCAAACAAGCAAACAAGCAGGAGGCCTGTAACAAGCAAATGATTAAATGTAGGCCTCTTTGTTAGACATGACATGCGACATGTACATGTTTCTAAAAACAGAAAATAAAAACTAGTGCTTGGATGGCACAGTACAGGGAAGTAATACATTCCTGTTTCCACAGACTTTCTGGTCTTTTAGTTTCCATTGTTTCAAACTTGATAGAGAACGATCCTATGGTCCCTAAATATTATCTGGGGGAGTATAGAGTAATTTGGTGATTGATATACCATATATATCAGCATATAGGGCGATTCATGTATAAGGTGAAGTCAATCTCTGGGGCTGTTTTTCTGGTGTTTGTTATATGTCAGGCTTATAAGAAGATCCCCAGTTTTTGCTTTGCAATTTTTGGTTTCAAGGGTCAACTTAGATGCTGATTTATACTGTACATGGTGCTGGAGTCCAATCTCCAGCACCTCTTGCTCTTCTTGCAGCTGGCATGGAAAGGATCTCACTGGCAGTCTCTCCAAGGTTGAGAACTTGACCTTGGGAAGAGGGTGTGGAGGTGCTGGGGAGGGGGGAGGCATGACATCATCTGCAGCCCCCTCCCTCCTCCCTCCAAAGGGCTTTAGCAAGATCAGGAGGAGTGGGAAGAAGGAAAATTGCTCTCATGGTCCCTCCTGCTCTGCATTGGAGGGTTCCTCCAAGTTCAGGGCTTACAATAATCAAGGGCACAATTGGCCGGTGATGGATCTGCCAGGTTTTATCTGGCTGTCACTTTTATTTTATAAAATATGCTTATGTTTTAAAGTTGAATGTTGCATTTTATCATGTTGCATTTCACAGTTTTCATGCTTGTGAACTGTCCAGAGATGTTTGGCTATTGAATGCATTATAGGAATGTGAGAATTGCATAGGGATAGGCTTTAAATCCCTCTCGTAGCTTTCCAAAACTGTGCTATGAGGGTAATGTGGGACCCCGTGGGATGAAACCAACTGTTGAAGCTCTTATTTTTGCTATTTGAAGCACAGTGAGCCAGTGTGGTGTACTGATCAGAGTGCAAGCCTGGAGCTATTTTCAAGTTTTAGCTCCCCCACTGCCACCATGAAGCCAATTGGGTGATTTTTGGAACAGTGACTGCCTCTCAGCAGGACTCATGTATGCTGCTGTGGTCTCCTTATAAACAAGTATGATGAATAAATGCCAAATAAATTTTGGAGTAGAGTGTCACAGAAGGCTTAGGCATCCCTCCCTGAATCTGCTGCATTCTTTGGAAAGAGTTAGAAAAAATTACACGGCAGATTAACTTACTATATTAGAATAGATTTTGCTCTGTTTCATTTGTGTTCTTTTATATTGCAATTGTAAACTGTTTTATAAATGGAAACTTACTTGAATATAATAGAATTGAGGAAATAGTGGCTGTTGAAAATTAATAGTTAATTCCCTCCTTGCAGTTATGCGTAGATGCCTGCAAACTTTGCATAATATTTTATACATGTGATGCAGTAGGTTCTTGTCCATGAAAGCTTATGCCATAATAAATCCATCAGTCTTTGCCGTGCCCCAAGACCCTTTATTATTACTACTAAGGACCGATGTCCGAAAATAGCAACTGCCACCATTTGATGGAGCACAATGTTTGCATCTGATACTGAGTTGTGTTACATATTCATACAAACAAAGTGTTAGAATCTGATTATTTACTGAAGCAAACTGGCTTTAATTGCCAAGCAGAGATGTGAATGTGGCAGTCCTTAATTTTCTTGCAAACAGCCTAGTTATATTCTTTTCCAAAAGAGAAGAGAAACTGGAGGTAGACAACATTTTCTGAAAGCTGCAGTCTTCTAGCAGCCATTAAAAACCGCAGCTGCATTAACAGTAGCAAAGATTCCCAAAAGCTGCTTGTCTCAGGCAAATCCCTGTGAAGGCTAAGAACTGCCTTTGTATGTGTGTGCTTTGAGGAACTTTTTAGGCAAGGACCATTTAAGCCATATTAGGAGTACTGCTAATCCCTTCCTAAAAACGGGAGCAATGTCAGCATAGCTGAAATGTCCCAAGCTAGACAGGCTGCAAATGTAGCCCTTTAGGTGCAGCATGCTGGAACAGACTGCTGAACTTCTTTTCCAGCTTCCACATCTAAGAGGCCTCTCCGTGAACTTGGCAGTCAAGAGCTGCTTCAGCTGCTTGGTGAATGCAACCATTCATTAACAAGAAAAGCGTGTAAGGAAAATAGCATGTTGCCTTATGAATTAGACAGCCCCAAGTACTCTTGTGCATGGTAGGACCTACTAAATTCCATTCTATTTCGTTTTTAGGAAATTAAGTCATTTTTCAAGTCCTCTCAGAATTAAGAGGTTTCCAAACTACAACCCA